GGCATGAAAAGGTGGAAAGGGGAAGGGATTGTGTGAAACCAGTTTAATCAAACAAAAGGTTCTTTTGATCATAAAGGACCAACCACAAGGTCAATATATAGCTCAAACCTTACTCAACAATCATGCTGTTGCCAATCCTTTAATATCTAATATCTAAAAGTTTATTTAGAAGAGAAAAGAAAAAGGTGAGAGTTAAAATGGTAAAAGAAAATAAAACACATACACTCATGGCAAAGTTCTTGTATCAGGTTTGAAGTAGCAATGGACTAAACTGCTGTCTTGTTAAGTTTCTGGTAACTCCCAAGAGATTGGAAGGTTCTCAAATCCTTTGGTTAGAATGCTCCCGTTAGCATAAGTCCATAGTCCAGAGATCAGAGCAGGAAAGAGGCAAAATAGAGATGTTTGCAGGATCTTCCATTGCATCTGCCAAATGGATGGAATGTTATTGTTCCAAGCAAAGCCCTCAGCATAGTTAGTGGAAAAGTACAGGCATTATATGGAGTTCAGTGTCAATTAGCTATTTGCATGGCCTTGCATGCTTCGATGAATTATAGCAGAGGTCATTACCAATGCCCCTCTAATCTTTTCCATCCACATGTTGTGTTTTTCATGTGGAATAATTTTTTTTATGTGTACTGAGGCATATGTGAATGAGCACCTCAGGAGAAATGCAAACCTAGCTTTAGGTGTTGTACTAATCAGCTGGGTGGCACTGGAATCTCTCCTGAGCAGCTGCACAAACACACAGCTTACAGGAAACACTAGCCATTACTGGCATTCTGCATAAACCACTCACATGAAAGTCCATGAGGTGGAGGTAAGCTTCTTCTGTGTCCCGCTGTGTTTGTTGATGGGCTATCAACTTTACTCCATACATAATGTCCTGACTAGTTTGTATGTAAACTACCTTGTGAATGTTACTACAGAAGCAAATACATTTGACATACTGGTACATAGCCAATAGTCATAACTTCAGATTAAAAAATAATAGATACGCACAACTGGAATAATTATAATCAGAAAATCATAACTTTCCCATTGACATCTTACATGACAATTTCTAATTTGAAATAATTGATGCAGAAAATGACTATTTTATTTTCAACACTGATTTCATTTTTTGCACATTTCCAGCACCTATGTAGAGCAAAATCAACAAAAAATACACTTCTATTTTCTCTACATCTGCAAGGTAAAAGGCAGTATTTCCCACATTATCTGTTAAAACAAATACAGTAAACTTCCGATAATCCGGCAACTTTAGGACCCAGGGGGTGCCAGATTATCAGATATGCCGGACTATCGGAAGGGGGGGCTATGAGGGGTCTGGGCAGCACCTATGTAGAGCAAAATCAACAAAAAATACACTTCTATTTTCTCTACATCTGCAAGGTAAAAGGCAGTATTTCCCACATTATCTGTTAAAACAAATACAGTAAACTTCCGATAATCCGGCAACTTTAGGACCCAGGGGGTGCCAGATTATCAGATATGCCGGACTATCGGAAGGGGGGGCTATGAGGGGTCTGGGATGGGGTGGGGGTGGGCGTGGGATCCCACCCCAGACCTCTCATTGCCTCCTCTTCTGATAGTCTGGCTCT